TCTTTAATCTTCATCAGTAAGTGCTTCAAGTCATCCTCACTTTCACCAAGCAAAGTTGTATCATCTGTGTATCGCTCATTGTTAATGAGTCTTTCTCCAATCTTGATGCCCCATTCTTCATATAATCCAGCTTCTCTGATTATTTGTTCAGCATACAGTTTGAATAAGTATGGTGAAAGTATACAACCCTGACACACTCCCTTCCTGATTTTAAACCATGTAGTATCCTTTGTTCTGTTCGAATGACAGCCTCCTGATCCTCATGAGTATAATCAAGTGTTCTGGAATTTCTATTCTTCTCAATGTTATCCATAATTTGTTATGATCCACACAATTGGATGATTTTGCATAGTCAAGAAAACACAAGTAAGCATCTTTCTGGTATTCTATGCTTTCAGACAAGATCCATCTGACATCAGCAATGATATCCCTCATTGCATGTCCTCTTCAGAATCCAGCTTGCTTTTCTGGAAGTTCTCTGTCAATATACTGCTGCAACCATTTTTTAATTACCTTCAACAAGATTTTACTTGCATGTGATATTAATGATATTGTTCGATAATTTCTGTATTCAGTGAAATCACCTTTCTTTGGAATAGGTACAAATATGGACTTCTTCCAGTCAGTTGGCCAAATCTCTTGGCATAGCCGAATGAGTCCCTCCAGAATGGCATCCATTTGTTGAAACATCACAATGGGTATTCCGTCAATTCCTGGAGCCTTGTTCTTTTCCAATTCCTTCAGTGCAGCTTCGACTTCTTCCTTCAGTACCATTGGTTCTTGATCATATGCCACCTCCTGAAATGGATGAACATCAACCCAATCTTTTTGGTACAGTAACTCTGTGTATTCCTTCCATCTTCTTTTGATGTTTCTTGCATCATTCAATATTTTGCCCATATTGCCCATATCGAATATTGCAACTCGAGGCTTAAATTTTTTCTTCAGTTCTTTCAGCTTGACAAACACTGAGCATGTTCTTCCCTTTTCGTTTTCTAACTCCAAGTCTTTGCACATTTCATTATAATAATTGGCTTTGTCTTCTTGAGCTGATCGTTGAAATCTTCTGTTCAGCTCTTTTATCTTGTCATTCCTTCCATTTGCTTTAGCTACTCTCTGCTCAAGGGCAGGTTTCATAGTCTCTTCTGACATCCATTGTGGTCTTTTCTTCCTTTCTTGTCTTTTTAATGACCTGTTGTTTTCTTCATGGATGATGTTCTTGATGTCATTCCATAATCCATTTGGTTTTTGGTCATTGGTGTTCAATGCATCAAATCTATTCTTTAGATGGTCTCTAAATTTGGGAGGGATATATTCAAGATCATATTTTGGGTCTCTTAGACTTCTTTTAATTGTCTTCAGCTTCAACTTGAAATTGCATATGAGCTACCTGATCGTCCGTTCCACAATCAGCTCCTGGCCTTGTTTTGGCTGAAAATATTGAACTTCTCCATTGCCTCCTGCCACAGATGTAGTCAATCTGATTGCTGCATATTCCATTTGGCAAAGTTCACATGTATAACCACCGTTTATGTTGTTGAAAAAGGTATTAGCAATGAGTAAGTTGTTGGTCTTGCAAAATTCTATCATGCAATCTCCAGCATTATTTCTATCACCAAGGCCATATTTTCCAACTACCGGTGACTCTTCTTTGTTTCCAATTTTTGCATTCCAGTCACCAGTGATAATCAACACATCTTGACTGCATGTTTCGTCAATTTCAAGACTGCAGAAATTGGTAGCAATCTTCAATTTCCTCATCTTTGGCTTTGGTGGTTGATGCATAGATTTGAATAATAGTAATATTAACTGGTCTTCCTTATAGGTGTATGGATATTAACCTATCACTGACAGCATTGTACTTCAGGACAGATCTTGAAACATTCTTTGTGATGATGAATGCCACACTTTTCCTCTTCAATATGTCATTCCTGCCATAGGAAATCATATGGCTGTCTGATTCACAATGGCTAAAAACAGTTCATTTCAGCTCATTAATGCCTAGTATATCAATCTTTATGTCTTCCATTTCATTTTTGACCACATCCAGTTTTCCTAGATTCGTACTTCATATATTCCATGTTCCAATTATTAATGGATGCTTACAGCTGTTTCTACTCATTTTGAGTTGTACCACATCAGTCAATGGAGGTCCTGAAAGCTTTACTCCACCCATATCATTAAGGTCATCTCTACTCTGAAGAGTCAGCTCTTCCCCAGTCATATTTTGAGTGCCTTGCAACCTGGTGGGCTC